GACGTCGACCGGCTTGATTGTGTTTGTGAACAACTGGTGGGGATCAACACTAACCATCCCTCACTGTGAGTGCAACAAACGTCCAAATGCATGCACTCAGCATAAAACATTATGTGCACATGCTTCAGCAGACAGAGGGGGAGGGGATGAATTCACAGTTATGGAGCTTTGCCTGAGGTCACACCTGAACTGCAAGTCCTTTCATTTATTCAGGTTGATGCTGAGAACCATTCTATGGCTTAATGAAGCAAAACTCGTAGTTAAGATCAGGTCATTCTAGTTGAAAGCTACAGTCACATAACAGAGCCCACTTACCTTGACAAATATTCAGTTTACCCTGTCAAAGGTTGTGTTGTAAATGCTCCTCTTATTGCTTTCCTGCAAACCAACAATCACTTTAAAGGACTCAGATAAAAGCCCTGATGTTACAGCTTTCTTTTACACACATCACATCATTCAGTTGATTTTTTTTTCCCTAATAGCAAGTTCCAGTAAATTATATCTATGACTCTAATTTGATTCTTTAATTTGAGGATGATTTATCTATTACAGTTTCTTATCAGTGATGAGAGTATGAAATCACTGATGTAAAAGGGAGAAAAAAGACCCAATATAGTATATAATTCGTAGCAGCATTTATATGCTTCATTTAATTATCTGACATTTTTATGTGAGTTTTAGAATATTTGGTTTTGTTTTTCTTACATTTAGATAATTTCTGTTAATATTGTTAAACAGCATCCTCTCATACAGAGATGTGAAAAATATGCAACCTTTGTCCATCCATCCAGCCTTTTTAGAGACTGCAGGAGCTGTCCCAGGTCCTCGGAGAGAAGATGGTAGTGGCAAACGTATCTAGTACAGGATCTAAAGATGTACCTAATAAAACTAGGAATCATCTGTCTGGCTGAAGGGAAAATACTCAACAAGTCCTAAACAGCTGTGAAGATCCCCAGGGTTGCCCTTCTAAGCAAGTTTGTCCTGAAAGTAGAACAAGAGATGCTGAAAAAAATCTAAGAAGAAAACCATCCTAGAAAGACCTAAAACAGACTTGTTTTATGGTTTATCTAAAACTATGTAGCTTTAGGAACAGAAACCATTTGAATAAGTTTACGTTTTATAGTAAGAGTGCAGGGAGACATAAATCCATCCAAATCATCATATTATAAATATTTTTTCATGCAAAGATATCTTATACAAATTTCAACCTTTATCTGGAAAAGCTCCTGCCCCTAAACACAATAACTGCTTATGCCTCCTTTGATGGGAGAGTTACTGGACCTTCAAAATCCAGATAAATGCAATTCCACTTTTTCCTTATAATGTAAAAGATACTTAGAAGAACTGCTTATAGAAGCTTTTGTTTTGCTCTGCAAAGAGATGAATGACTCTACCCAATAAATCAGTTATTTTTGTTATATATATATAATCTAGAGCGCCTCCATGGGGGGAATAAAGGAGCTTGATTACTGTAGTTCCCTTTTCTATATAGGTTGTCTGGATTCACACACTAACAACCTGATGCCTGGTGCTGTTTTAGGCTCTCTTCCCCATGGTAAATGTTTAGTCTGTTGTTATTTTTGAAGTGTGCACAGCTAAAGAATATGAAGACTTTTTAAAGGGCTCTGCTGAGACGCCTCGGAGAAAAGCCTAAAGGTAACATTTGGTCTGCATCTTCTGATGGTTACATATACATGAACTAAACAGTTTTACTGGTGGGTGTTGGCTGGCAGCAGCAATTGTGATACTGTACATGAGATGAAAGCTGTGTTTGCTGAGGTTTAGCACTTGCATAGACACTTCTGAGTGAAAATAAACTGAGAAGACTGTATTTTTGATGGATTTTGGTGAGAAAATTAAGTTCACATGATCATGCAACAAAAAGCGTTCTTTGAAAGTGTCATTGGACGATCTGGGAATGGTTTAATCGTTCTCCTCATGTTTTACCTTTAAAGATGCAAAACCATGATCTAAATTTATACATGTAAGAATGGGATGGTGTGGAACTTTGTTAACTGACATTCAGGTGGTGTTCTGGCCTACATATTTTATGTGAAGGGAGATTAATTTCTACTGCTCAGGTGATAGACGACCTATTTCTAAATCCTGAGCTGCTGGTGAAACAGGGGAGTGCAGGAAATGTGCAATAAATGATCTTATATATCAAATATGTTTTGTCCTTTTTCAACAACATAACTATAAAATATCTTCTTCAAAGAATTTTAATTTTCTGGTAACTTTATAATCAAAGAAATATAAAAATATTACTATTTAATGCTTGGATTCTTGGGCAGTGCCACCCTCATTCATTTAATAGAATCTATTGTATTGGGATGTATATGATGGACTAAACCTGCAAAGAAGCAAGTCATTGCATCTTCATCAATGAAATAAAAAGACAGTATAATAATAATATATATTTTTTAAATTAATGATCCTTTTAATACATAAAGTACCTTATAAACTAAAACAGCATCATGGAATAAATTAATTTATAAAAATATGTCACCTTCAATAAAATGCATAAATATTTCTTGAAATAAATAAACATTGAATAAATGATAATATAATAATGAATTGAATAAATCCTAAAGTAAATAAATTGGTAGATTTAAAAATATATTTTGAGACATTTATGCATTGGATGTAGGGCTGGACAATAATATTAGCATCAATGTATATCTAAATGTTTTTGTGTTTAAAGCGGTAATTGCTTTTCCAATATAATTCCATACACATTAAAGTCAGTAAAAAATTATTTTTACTGGCTTGCTTTTGGGGTTTTAAGTGCTTTGTTGATTAAAACAAATATTTCTAAAACATTATACCAAAGGAGTGTTATAAACATACTAAATAACTGTGATTAGTTAGTTCAGGTATCTGTTGTGGGCGTTCTTGGCAGTCTTTTTGAGCCTTCTATTGTGTTTACTTATCATATTGACCAAAAGTAAGAAATATATTCTAGTATAGGTTTTGTCTTTTTGTTTAGCCATTATTTGATGGAATATTTATTGAAAATTAATTAAGAACATTGTATATTTATGTAATTATATTATATAAATTTTGAGTGAAATAACCCCTTATAACCAGTGCTGATTTAAAATCCCTGAAGATTGAAATAGCTAATTTTCTAACTTCTGCAAAACTGAACCGAACGCCTGAACAAAATAAAAAAAATATATATATATATATATCTGCTTTTATTTTGTCAACTTCAACAGAGGTAAGAAGAGCTGCAGCTCTGCTAAAAACAGATCTACAGCTCATGTTTTAGCATCTATTCTGATAAACTCCCACGAACCACACACACTGACCTACCCACCTACAAAGTAAAAAGTAGACTGGCGCTATGGTTCCTCCTCTTTACACACTAAACTAATAAATGGCCTCTCAGTCAATGTTTTACCAGAAATCTTATACCACCTTAACAATGTTTTATATCTCATGCTATTATTTACTCCTGTCTGCTTTCCATAGATGCAGATCTGAGCTCTAACCTCCAGTTTACTACATGCCTCTCCAGAAGGGCACTTCTAGCCTGTTCCATGAATTGAAAGTCACATCCCCCACCAGCAGGACAGAAGGCAGCATGGCAGCATGAATGTTGGTCATGCAGGAAAGGAGAAGCAGTGGACACCAACAAGCTGTGGGCTACTATGACCACTGATTCATGAAATTTGATATCACTCAATTCTGTTAGTGTTCTGGTTTCATGGTATTTGTTGCAAATTATTTACAAACCACATCTAATAGTGCAAATCATGATTAATTCTTAGTAGAACTACTATTAAGTAATTATTATTTTACAAAGAGTTTGGAATATTTATAGCAGGAATGGGTTTGGCTGCACAGAATACATAAAAAAAAACAATAACTTCCTGTTTTTTACTCTGCAATTCAAAAGCAACATTCAACAATTAATAATTTTCCTTTTTTTATTCCATGCTGATATTTTATTTTTCAACCACCTACTGATGGCGCTGATGGTCTCACTTTTTCATCTTACCCATCCCTCGTTTGATTCTCCTCTATCTTTATCTGTTTCTCTCCATCAATTTCCTGCTACCGGGCGTAATGTGATAGAGGACCGACTCTGCCAGCCCCAACTGTGGCACTGCAATCTCTGCTCTGGTTGCTAGGCAGCCTAGTCTGAGACGGGGCTCTTTGATGCACCTCCTTCTCCCTGTTTGTTTTTCCCCAAAAAGGAAGAAAGAAAAAAAGTGAGATGGAGAAGAGCTGTGAATAACCAACAAGAAAAAAATATGAAACTCAGAGAATTTATTTTTTTAGAGAATGCTGCTTTTCCATCTGCAGTGCAGCACAGAAGTGTATTGTGATCCTGGGGGCTTTGGAGGCTGCGCCTGTAGATTTGTTGAAAACACAGGCTTCAAGGCTCTGAACAGTGTGACAGATCTCCACTGTGACTGCTCTGCCCACCTTCTCAGTGTTTGTGATGGAAATCGCAGTGTGCAGACTTTGTGTCATCGCGCCCAGAATGAAGCCTACCATGTGTGGCTGAAACAGTGGGCTGCTGGCAGGTTGCCCAGGTGTGGGATATTGGTAGGGGAGTGAGGTTACCATGAAGAAGCTGCATGAACTGCTGCCTTATAAAGCATTCATGAATCAATGCTCTAGTAGCTCCATGTGGCTGTGGGGGACGATAACTATGCAAAGTAAAATGCCAGAACGATTTCAAGGCCTTTGTTCCCATTATGTCTCCACTTTTCACTTGTAGGCGTCACACATGTTATGCGATGTACAAGCTGTGCTTATGGTCTGCCAACATTTGGCTAAAGGAGGCAATCTGACGGAGGTCCTACTTTGTGCATCGGTTGAAGGACGTGTGTAATTTACTTAGCCACTACAGAACTGTATTCATCATAAATAATCTCGAAGTCTGTTGATAACATTTTCTTGCAAAATTGTTGCCCAGAGTACCTGAGGATTTTTTCTAGTTGAATAACCTTGTCTGTGCCCCTGTCTGTGTGTGTTTATTGCAGAAATACAGGTACCAGGATGAGGAGACGCCCCCCTTGGAGCACAGTCCAGCACATCTGGCTCCAGGGAAAAGTGCAGAGATGCTTCATATGAGCGACAAGAACCTTGCTGCCATGGAGGCCATACATGGCTACACGCCGCACACACACATCTCTCCTGTCAAGGTACTACCTGCCCATGGATCAACACATTGCATTATTTCTGATGTGCGGTGGACTCCAATCTGAAAATGCAGTACATTTCACAGGAGAGATTCATTATTCCTTAGCGTTTGGGTTTCAGATGTTTATTAACAAAGCTAAATGTTCAATGGAACATCAATGAGGTCATCCAGCTGATATTTCAGTAAGCTGTAATACACTTGGTAGCAAATTTTGGGATTCATTACTCATTTCTTTAAAGGTCCCATATTATGAAAAAATTGCATTATAAACATTTTCTAAGTCTGTATGTCCTCAAGCTTGTGTATGAGATTCACACATGAAGAAAACCCTTTCACCTCTATCATTGCCTTTCTGTGCTCAAAATGCTCTGTTTGAAAAGTATGCCCTTTATGATGTCATATGGGGAAATATGCTGTTCAGAGTGGTCTGTGGCAGCCAATCGGTAGAGCTAAGGCCTTCATCTAATGTATTATTCTGTGCTTCTAGCCTCTTTCTTTATGAACACTAATTTTTTTGTCATGGTTGTGGGTTGTGGGGGTGTGGCCTTCGGGAGGACAGGAGTGGTGAAAGCCAAAACAGTACTTTCAAAAGAGGGCTAATTGAGGAGATTTTGTTTGGGTAAAAGCCATCTGCCTTATCTTAATGGAATTTTACTGCAAAAACAAACAAAAGAAAACATGCTCTGGGGGCCTCATTGTTGATATCTTTTGAATTCAAATGGAACATAATATGGAACCTTTAAATCCAAAAAATGTTAATACTATGAAAATAGATAAAGGAGCAGTTTGGGTTAGAAGTCTAAATGGCATAAATATCACACCAATTTATAGTTTTTAATAAAACAGGAATCATAAATCTAAGGGTCAAATTATAATTCAAATTTAAACTAAAATCTACCACTAATATCTTGGAAAACTCTCAGCTACTTATAGTTTTAATGAATGTTTAGGCCCAGTGATCTATTTCAAGAACAAATTCTGTTCAAGTTTTGACAATCTGACCCCTGCTGTCTTTGGCTGGAATAAACTAAATGGTTTGGAACAGTCCAGAAAACACCAAGGCTCACTCTGAATCAAGTAAACCAGTTAAGGCTCTTAAAGCAAGGTTTTGGCTTATCCCTCTGAAATTATCTTCAAGTTATGTTTAAAAAAATTTTGTAGAATAAAAGTAGAGTTTAAATTGTGTGTATGTTCATGTGGATGTAGGGTTAGCAGAATAAGCAGTTAGCCATGGTTTCTTAAACATCGTATCTAAGTCTGTTATACAAAAGTTACACAACCAGAAACAATTACTCATTGCATCACCCTTTTTGCGGAATAGAGATGACAGTGGTGATAGCAAAGAAGGCTAATGGTAGCATCCTTCCACAAATGACATAAATTAAGAATTAGGATCAGAATTGATCTCTATCCAGTTTAAACAAAGAGCCCACACAAGAAAAGCAAGCTACTCTCACACTCTGGATTTTCTGGTAGGTTTTCATTGAAGCTCAAAACCAACACACCATTTTTTATTATGAAAAGGTCTGATTTAAGACTCATTTAAAGTTGGGACTAGACCAGGCAAGTCAATCTGAGGGAGCTTTACCATTTCTGAAACGAACAGGGGGGAAATGTCCAGTCAGAAATATGCAAGAATATCGTTGATGGCTACAAAAACCATGTGGTTGAGCATTATACTGATCTCACTTACCTCACAGACACAAAGCTTTATTGATATAAATCTGCACTTAACACAAACAGTTAGGTGATATAAAGTCCTACATCATCGACTTAAGTGCGCTGATGGGAAATTACTATAACCAAATCTGATAATTAAATATAATCTTCTGCACACTCATGCATCAGCTTTGAGCCTTTGCACATCAACATCAGGGAATCTGATATCTACACTTAAAAGCTTGGAACTGAAAGTGCAGCATGATACAAGATATTTTAAGGACAGGCACCAGATGGACAATATGATCCAGTAAACCAGGCAGGGCTAAAGAGAAATGAGCACAATTGATTCCAATTAGCATGTTGTAACCAAAGCTGTCATCAGTGATTGTGTTTTTAACCAATGCTGACACATTATGTTGCACATGGACTTAATGATGCATTGAGATGTGTGTTGTGAATTGAGACAGACGTCATAAGAGCTGCAATAAAGCTGAAGGATAAAGCTGACATCAGTAACATCACAAATAGCTTGCTTGAAGGGCATTAACAAATGCCTTCAGTATCTACAAATGTAAAAGTGTAAGCTGAGGTGGCCACTTAATGACGATCAGTCTCATACTGTATGCCCACACAGGTTATTCAACAAACACTACAGCTATGAAAAACAAGGAGATCCTGGTTGTACTTTCTTTGATGATAAAGGGTCTCTTACATTTTTCCCACATGGGAAAGAAAGTGTTCTTTCTAAATGAGAAAAATTAAACGCTGCCTTTTAACAAACAGCAAAGAAAGGCTGTTTTTGGGCTTTATTGCTGCTTTTGAGATTATGCACAGATCTTCTCAGTGTTTGGGATGACAGCCATGGAGATTTCTCCTTATGGATGCGGAGAAGGTGACTGATGTAAGAACGTCGCAAAACGGACATCTGGAATAGAATTACATAGAAATTGAGAAATGGTAAGATAGATAGATAGATAGATAGATAGATAGATAGATAGATAGATAGATAGATAGATAGATAGATAGATAGATAGATAGATAGATAGATAGATAGATAGATAGATAGATAGATAGATAGATAGATCCTTGTTCGATCGATCGATCGAGAACTAGAAGATCGATCGATCTTCTTGTTCTCATGAACTCTCCATTTTTAATATATGGTCCAAAAGTTAATGCAGTTCAGAAAAACAGAAGCCAGGATGGGTTCCTTTATCAAAAGCTGATGATACCATATTAATTAAAGTGATGAAGGAGAGGTTTGGTTACTCTACTAAAATCTGATATTATGAGTTAATCAGCTCAGTATAATGATTAGTGCCTTCCAGTGTCTTCAGATCATGATTTGTTCAATCAGCTTCCAGAGGCTTGCAGTTTGTTTTTTGTTTATTTTTTTTTATAACTGATATCTCTTTGATTAAAAGTTCAGCTTTAATGAATTCAATTAAAATAAAATATTCAATTTGATTGTGATTATAAAACACGCTTCCCACTTGTCTTTAAGTATGTCTGTATTACATGAATATGATTAGTCAATTTTTCTTGGTGTCATTTTACTTTAAAATAAAATCAGTCAATAAGGTTTAAATGCATTGCATTAATAATTTGCGTTTAATTAAGTTTAATTCAAAACTTTAACCGAAAATCTGATGGGTCTAAAATTTTTACTTTCAGCTCAAGGTATCAACTTTTTTTTCTTTTTCTTTATTGATTGATTAAAGTGTTTGTGTTTTATCTATTTCTACAGTTTCGTGAAGGGATTAATACATCTTTTACATGAACACTCCTGAATTACTTGTAGAAATAATGAATGCTCTGTTAAAAAGCTGTTCCACATGTGTTCAACAAGGATGTGTCTTTGAACTACTGCTGTTTTTGTATCACATACATTTTCTCCTGACTGTCAGCTCTTATTGTAACATTTCGGTTTAAAATTATATTTAAATTAATAATGCATATTAGGAATATCTCATTTGCAAAAGATGTTTATATTTCCTTTTAAAGCAAAGTTTTTGTTATTTTATTTTATACCATAAATTTCAGTTTACCCTCTCAATTTACCTCATTTAAATTGACGTCAGCAGAGGCATGTAAATGCATGTGATTTTTAGCCTTAATATTTGGTTAAAGTTTAATGATAATACTTGGAGACTATTAGAATATGTAGCAAAGGGTTCCATTGTTTAAAATGTTTTTTTCTACAACTTTGCATAAGGTCTCTGTAATACAGTAGTCAAACGAATAGAGAGAATAAATAATCTTCTTGAATTTTAAATATAGACTGAAATGGGTATTATAATAACCTAAGCCAAACTGCACTAATTTGACTACGCAAATGTTCAGCTGTTTGACCAAAACTAGCAGCTGTGTATATGACATTTTTTAATAGTCCTACTTCTTCTGACTTTTTAGTATATCATATAGTCCGTATAATGACAGGTTTCCACATAATAAAATGGCTATTTATATAACAAGCAAGCTTTTAATCTACTGTAGATTACACTGTCAGGTGTACCACAGATTTACTGTTTAAGAGATGCTGCCTACTTTTTAAGTAATCTGTACTTTTTACACCAAACTGTGTCTGCAGGCTGCAAAGATGTTAGTCAAGGACCTTCGCTTGGCATAAAGACTAAAAGCTTTTAAAATATGCAGAGGATGCACAACATCTTAAATTATGTTAATTCCACATCATTACACAACCAGTGACCCTACAACACAGAGATCATTTGGCTGGATGGATGTTCTGCATCAGTCCACTAGCAGTGTCTCTACATACCTTTAAATATCTGCAGATCAAGAAGGCATTGGTTTCAGGCTTTTTTTAAAACCATTTTCCTTTAAGTAGAGAAAAGACAAGGTTTTCTAGTGTCCAACACTATTTCCTTATTATGTAATGCTGACAATAAAAATAAATTAGCTAAACTGATGGCTGCATATTTGTGTAAGCAAAAGAGTTAAAAGTATTTGCAAAATGTCATGTAAGAATCTCTGGTTGCTTTGCCGTTTCAGGAACTAGATAACTCTCGATAATTGGTAGAACTATGAATGGTGCTCTTTTATGAAAATTCGAAAAGAAGGATGTCCAACCACTTTAGAGGCTTTAAACTTAGGTTGGACAGCAGGACAGTCATTCAAAGCCTGAGCATGACCATTTCTTAATGGTGGAGCAGTTTGCAGTTCTTATCCTTCAGTAATCTGGAATAAGGTCCCAGAACACATTAAGAACCATGAAAATATCAGTTGCTTTAAATCGAGAGGTAAACATTATGTAAATAGTATATATGTAGCAGCATAACATATATTTTACGTCCAAATGACCTTTTTTAGATTAATAATTGTAGCTTTTTATATATATATGTATCTTACTTTAAATATTTTCTTTTATTCTGTCTAATTATTTGTGTAGCCTCTGAACCACAGAAAAGTACTTTTCCTTTTCATGTTTTCCACATGTACAGCAATTTGAAGTGCCTTGCAAAAACATTTGCCTAAATCTAGTCCTGATTCTGTTGCTTAAGCAGATCATTCATGCAAAAGCCTCCATTTAGGTTGACATTAAACAACTTTACAAAAGAATGGGCCATACTTAATTAGCAACATTTCTTGCAGTTATTTAGTTTTAGTTGGCTTTATTGATGTAAGACGAAGCAGGTTTCGACATATTCTCTCCTTTTAAAGACAAAATGCGTAATTTAAACCGTTCTTTTCTTTTTACTCTGGCTATCGTTGTAATATTTTCAATATTTCAATCTTACCTGAAGCATTTATATGGCAAACAAAATGAATGACAGGAAAAATATGAAAGGTAGCAAACACGTTACTCTATATATGTGTGTTTGTATGTTTAACCACATTTTTATGTTAAGTTCTTCAGTTCTGGAAGTAATGAAATTAAAATATATCGAACCTTAAAATAATAACAGGGAGTATGCCGTATTAAAGGAAGACATTTGATGCTGTTCCCATTGTGGAAACCTGACTGGTCCTGTTTCTATTTGTAGGTTACTGTTGTTTTTATTCATTAGGTTTTCCAACTCTCTTCTGGGAGAAGTGAATTCTGTGCAACTGAAAGGGTGTTTTGAACTTATTAAGATAAAAATAGTTCTGCATCTTCTGGGAGACAGACACACAAAAACATACAATGGAAATACATAATAACCAGGTTAAAGTTATTTAACCAAAGAAAAGCAATCTCTTTGGACGGCATTCAAATACATGTTTATTGGGGATTTTTTTCTGTGTGTTTATGTTCAGATGTAGTTTACTTCTGAAATCAGCCACATACCTCAGTGCTGATGCTGTTCTTAGGGTGAATAACCTTAAAACAGAAACTGTCTTCCTTAGTCTCTCTCTCATAACTGTAACGATCTCTGCTTTTACTTCTTCAGAATCTATTGCTGTTCATTTCTGTAATGTGAAACACAATCATGCCTTAGAATGGCTGCACTCCTTCAGTCTGACGCACTGCAAAATCAACATTTGGTACCTGTATCGTTTTTGATCAGATCTTCTATTTAGTTTTAAAATGACTTCAGGGTAAATTTTGTGTTGTAACAATGTGTCAGTAGTTGATAACATATGTGAAACAGGTGTGGTTCTAAAGCAAACCTTAGAACCATTTAAAAACCTAAACAGAATGCAAAATCATCAGTTTCACAACTGCAGACTCTCCTGCTATGAACTCTATTCTGCAACCTCTTTCTGAAAATGGAAAATGGAGGGCAACGAGAGAGGGATCTTTGACTATCCTCTCTCTGCAATCTGTAAATCCTTCACACTCTTGGCTACCGTGTTATTTCTCCTCTCTTTAGCTCCACCCACATATTTCAGTCCTGTGGACCATGAAGGTAGAACGATATTTTTGCAGGTGAACCATGTTTGATTGATTTGCTTATATTTTTAAGAATGTATGTTATAGATCATTTAAGATATTCTGGATTTTAAAGAGTTAACAATGCTGCCACCCTTAGTATGGAACTCGGGACCTTTAAGTGAAAATAGGTCAACAAATGTATCGACAAACTAAAATGTCGATACATTTAGAAAAACACTTTCTACATAAAAAAAAACAACAAAAAAAACTAAACAAAAAAACAGGAAGTAATTCATTACAAATTAAGCATTCCCAGAAGAAAAATAATAATGAACAAAGGTTTAACTTGTATTTAAACCTATTTTTGTCAGCAATTGTGCTACTTATTATTTTGGAATGTATTCACCACTAAATCGTACTCGTACTCGTACATTTTTGGTGGGACCCCTTTGCTCAGGTCGGGTTTTATTCTTAAGTTTGTTTTCATGTTATTGAAGCGTTTTGTTTAATGATTATGATGATGACACCTGGTTTTCCTGACAGATGTGGTTACCCCTATATAAGGATTTCCTCCACTCTTTATCTCTGCATTATTTTAACAGAATGCCTGCCTAGTTTTAAATTGTTTTGTTTGAGCGCGGCCTATTTTCCGCTATAGTTTCTCTGACTGTGACTGGTTGGATGTGCTCTCTTCATCCTCTGAAATGGGAGCTGGTTTGGAGCTCGTCTGCCTGGCTGTGTGTTTCCTGGACGGAGCCACTTGTGGAGCTTGTTGACAAGTTCCTTTGTATCTCTGCTTCTTTCTGTATGCCTGCTTCTGTCTCCTTGAACTCCAGTCGGGCTCGGCAGATGGCCGCTCATGCCTGGTTCTGCTGGAGGATTCTTCCTGTTAAAAGGGAGTTTTTCCTCTCCTCTGTCGCTTGTTAGGTTAATTATTATTGATGATGTGTGAGTTTATTACACCTTAATATTAGCTGCCGGTTGCATGTCCGAACTTATGTTTTCCCCAATAGTTTATCTAATTAAGACAGTTTCTCTGTCCAAATATACAGTTATAATCTTTATTCTGTACGTGGCAAATATGTGGGAATGGAATGAGAGCAATGTCCCTCAGCTAAGAACAAAGTGTAATATTTTGCTAAGGCTGGAGCCATGGATGTCTAATCATCTGCTAACTTGTATGATGTGATGATGTGGCAGACTGGAGATGTATAAAATGCCTCTTTAACTGTTTATCGGGGCCATTTCCCGAGAAGTGAGCCCGGGGGTATGCAGCTGCTTCCATTAACTCTAAGCAACTTCTCTGATCTGAGTAAGATGATAATTTCTATCAAAATCTGTTGTCATGTCTCACAGTTATTATTACCTATAAGTTGTGAAGTGTTATTTAAAGAGTTTGTCTCAAGTGATATATTTTCAGGAAAAAGACTCGGACAGAGAAAGCTTCAAGGGGCAGACAAAGAGCCTATCTTTAACACGCTATGAGCATGTTTGGTGTGAGGGATTGCTGAAGAGTCACTGAGTTGCAATTATCCTGTTTTCCTTAGATGGAAAACTTTTAATCAATCTGACTATATGATCTGGTTAAATTGTCTCTGTAAAGTGCATTGAGATGACATGTGTTGTGAATTGGCGCTATATAAATAAATTGAATTGAATTAATATGTTTTTTTTTTTTTTTGCTTTTTGCCCCTCTTTTTCATCCTGCCCACCTTCTTCCTGCACTCCTTCCCTTGCTCGTCAACCGGTGCTGGCAGCAGAAATGTACTTAAGCTTGGATATATCAAAGTCTAATGTCTAAATTCTTGCAGCTCAAAGGAAATTTAGAGTGTAGGAATAAATAAAAAGCAATATAAAGCATTAGAAATTATGTCTCTTGATTTGTAACAGAGTAAGAATATATATAAAATGAACACATTTTAATAGACTGCTTGAATAGTCAGCAAAAATAAAATAAATTAGGATTATGATTGGTAATGTGAGGGAAAAAGTCAGCCCAGTTAAATATCCAAATTTAATAACTGAGATCTCTCCAGTGGGAGAAAATCAGCTGCACCACAGCTATTGTTTGTAAGGATTCATTAAAAAGAGGAAGGAAGTGGTGTCCCAGTGGTTAGGGCATAGAGCTTGGAATCCTGAGGTTCTGAATCCGAGCCCCACTCCCACAGTCTGCCACTCTGGGTCTCTGAGTAAGACCCTTAACCCCGCACTGCTGCCCGGGCGCCCCACCATGGCAGCCCACTGCTCCCCAAGGGGATGGGTTAAATGCAGAGGTAAATTTCTCCAATGTGAGATCAATAAAGTTCAATTATGATATGTTCGGAGTGGCTGTGTAAACCAGCATAAACAGCTGCGCTGTTTTTGATTGGTTCTGTATGTTGGATTCAGGTTTTAACAACCTCAAATATGAGTTAACTCTGATTCCATGCTGTGTTTTATAATTCTGACTCCATATTATTTATTTATATAAAGAGTCAATGCATTGAGAAAGGAAATGAAATACTAAAAGGATAAGGGAGTTTAAAAAATTCATTGCAAAGCAATTTGTTTGAGCTGCTTTAAATATAGTGCAAATAATGGGCAGAGAGGGATATCTGCAGAAAAAATTATGATTAGATATGGCTTGTTTTTCATAGAGAGTATTACCGTTAACTATCTTTGCACAGTTACTGTATATTTAAATCTTGCCACACTTTCTATAGGTTTTCGGATTTTCACCTTTTGCCAAATTGCAATCACCTTTCCTTCACAAGTGAAATGGAAACAGGTGTGTGTAGTATCGAATTGAAAGTAAAAACCTAAACGTGTGCATGCAATTATACAAAGGCCTTTTGTAAATCACTCTGAAAACACCATCCGCAATATGAAACATGTGGGTAGCAGAGATATTCTGTGGAAGGTATTTCTACAGCATAAACAGGGAAGCTAACTACAAAACAATGCTGGATGTAAACCTGTTAAATGCTGGAAAGTTCGAGATGTTAAGCCGGATGATCAGCCACACCCAGACCAGGACAGAACTTAATCCATCATAATGCCTAAAAATTGATGTTTACAGGTTCTTTCTGTTCAATCTGACTTAGGCCGAGCTTCTTCAAAAAGAAGGAGAAAAACAATCAGCTCCACAAAGCTGTTAGAGAAATTGACCTGTTTAGGTCCCTGTCAGGGATTTATAAAGTATAATTGAATTTGAATTGAATTTAGGGTGTATAAATTCCCTCTGCTCCTTTTTAGACATGTGTCTGGATTTCTGATTAATCCTCTGTATTATAGGCGTTTTCTGTTACTGAAGAGGTAAAGCTAACCTAGATCAGTACCCACTGTTGTTCCCTCTGCCCATCCGCATGTCCTGCACAATTACCCTGTCCCTTCTACTGTTTTACAGCCTGTGTTGATGTCCACGGGACACACTCCAATGTACACCTCTGCAGTTTCCACACTGGTAAGACCGCTGTGATCCCGTCAACATCACTAGTATCATCATCAATAGTCATCCAAAATTTATTTATTTTTTTCATTCCTATTTTCAACCCTCACTCCTTGTGTTTGTGTTAAATTTTTGTGGCAGGCTGTTGGCTGCTCGCTCGCGTGTGTTTAATGCTCACTGTCATAAATTTCCCAAATCATTTCAGCATCTTCGTTCTTTATCATCTTCATTTGAATCCTCTGTGTCATGCAGATTAGTCCTGCTGGATGTCACTGTCTACTTTTGGACATGAAATGTGCTGCTCCATTCACATTGCAGCGTTTTGGTGCATGAAGACATATGAACTGTGGTCTGTGGCTCAGGGAAAGACACACATTAAATGACGCCTCAAGCTTTGAGGTTTGAAATAACAGTCTGAGGAACAAAACGATTTGTTTGATACAAAACCTTGAGTTCCATGCTGTGGATGCAAAATAGGGGTGGAAAAACATACAATCTTTATCAGGACTCACTGAAACCTGTAGGTGGCAGTGTTAGACTGTACCTAGCAAATTTCATAACCATGAGAAGATGGATCTATTATACAGGTAGAACAGTTTTTATGATCAGTTTGCACTTGACTCACAAACCATAACTTTCTGCTGCAGGAGTAAGCAGATGTTTGTGGAATAGTGTTTCTCTGAAATGCTGCCTATATACTGTAGGAATATGCATGTATTACCATGGGAACCCTCTCTTTTTTGCAACAAAGGGGTTGGAACATTTGGGGTTCAATCTATTTTTATGAGTGTGAATCATAACAAGAAAGGCAGAACAATTAAAAGGGACTTAAATATGTTTAATGCAAATTCATTTTAAACAAAAAATTGTTGCACTCTGAAAAAAATATTAGTATGGTTTTTATTAGATTACATCTTTCGTTTAATGCTGACTTCTGTGTAACCTTTGGCTCTATGTGGTCAAATCTTGTTGTTATCACATTCGTTTTTTTATTATACCTAGAAAACATAATTTTGTGTAGCTACCCTATAATATGAAAAATGTGCATATTAGCAGGTTTAATTTAATGTGATTAAAACTGAATCAATCATGCTGAGTGTACTTGTCACAGCAGAACTGAAAATGAGGCATGAGGTCACAAATGCACCATTGTTATCTTCTGTGTGAAGAGGATGTTCAATAACTAATCAAAACAATGGCAATAAGACATTTTGAATGTATTCTCCTCTTTAATCTTCTGTCTACTAAACTTAAAATCACAATATGCAAACATCAGAAAGGTCAGGAGGAAAATAAAATACATTTCATACAGGAGCCTGTATTTTTGGGTTCAGAGGTATTAGATTATACATCAGAGGTCCATTTCCAGCGCAACAGACAAATAGCTCACAGATTAAGAAGACACCTTTAGAAATTCACAGCTAACAGGATGGAGTCCTGTGAGGATACCTACGGTATAATGTAAATCCTCACCCCTGAGTTTTAATTGATTGAAAAGTTTTGGAGGGAAGTGGTTGAGCTGTGTTGAAGTGACGTTACCTGTTTGTTTTGAATTACCACAACATTGTGGATTGCTGCCAATGTAAAGGGTTGGTTAGAAACCAATGTCCACCATTTATTTAAATAGAGCCAACATGTTTTAGCTTCTTCCAGTCCAGATCACAGGTCACACACTAATGGATGAGAAGGTCTGGCTTTCAGTCTCTATTCTAATTCATCCCAAAGATGTTTTATCACCTTTGGGATAATAAGCTTCAGCATCACTGACCCAACTCCCTCAGTTAACCTGGCCTACCACTTTGTGGCTGAGTTTCTGTCATTTCCAAACGCTTCCATTTTCTGAGGAAACAGTTGGCAGTTGACTGGAATATTTAGGAGTGAGGACATTTCATGCCTGGATATGTTGCACAGCTGTTATCCTATCACAGTTCTATGCTGGTGTTCACTGAGCTCCTGAGAGCGACCCATTCTTTCACAAATGTGAAACAAAACAAGAGTCTGCTTGTCTATGTGATTGATTTTATACACCTATGGCCATGGAAGTGATTGAAACACGTCATTCCAATCATTTGAATGGGTGTCAAAATACTTTTGGCAGCATTGTGTATGTAAATATATACACTATATTGCCAAAAGTATTTGCTCACCTGCCTTGACTCACATATGAGCTTAAGTGACATCCCGTTCCTAATCCATAGGGTTCAATATGACGTCGGTCCACCCTTTGCAGCTAGAACAGCTTCAACTCTTCTGGGAAGGCTGTCCACAAGGTTTAGGAGTGTGTTTATGGGAATTTTTGACCATTCTTCCAGAAGCGCATTTGTGAGGTCGCACACTGATGTTGGACGAGAAGGCCTGGCTCTCAGTCTCCGCTCTAATTCATCCCAAAGGTGTTCTATCGGGTTGAGGTCAGGACTCTGTGCAGGCCAGTCAAGTTCATCCACACCAGACTCTGTCATCCATGTCTTTATGGACCTTGCTTTGTGCACTGGTGCACAGTCATGTTGGAAGAGGAAGGGGCCAGCTCCAAACTGTTCCCACAAAGTTGGGAGCATGGAATTGTCCAAAATGTCTTGGTATGCTGAAGCATTCAGAGTTCCTTTCACTGGAACTAAGGGGCCAAGCCCAGCTCCTGAAAAACAACCCCACACCATAATCCCCCCTCCACCAAACTTTACACTTGGCACAATGCAGTCAGACAAGTACCGTTCTCCTGGCAACCGCCAAACCCAGACCCGTCCATCAGATTGCCAGATGGAGAAGCGCGATTCGTCACTCCAGAGAACGCGTCTCCACTGCTCTAGAGTCCAGTGGCGGCGTGCTTTACACCACCGCATCCGACGCTTTGCATTGCACTTGGTGATGTATGGCTTGGATGCAGCTGCTCGACCATGGAAACCCATTCCATGAAGCTCTCTGCGCACTGTTCTTGAGCTAATCTGAAGGCCACATGAAGTTTGGAGGTCTGTAGTGATTGACTCTGCAGAAAGTTGGCGACCTCTTCGCACTATGCGCTTCAGCATCCGCTGACCCCGCTCCGTCAGTTTACGTGGCCTACCACTTCGTGGCTGAGTTGCTGTCGTTCCCAAACACTTCCATTTTCTTATAATACAGCTGACAGTTGACTGTGGAATATTTAGGAGCGAGGAAATTTCACGACTGGATTTGTTGCACAGGTGGCATCCTATCACAGTTCCACGCTGGAATTCACTGAGCTCCTGAGAGCGACCCATTCTTTCACAAATGTTTGTAAAAACAGTCTGCATGCCTAGGTGCTTGAATTTATACACCTGTGGCCATGGAAGTGATTGGAACACCTGATTCCAATAATTTGGATGGGTGAGCAAATACTTTTGGCAATATAGTGTATATACATATAAATATATGTATATATATATATATATATATATATATATATATATATATATATATATATTTAGAAAATAAAATTATAATATTGACAATAATATTTCAGTAGCTAAAAGCGACCTTATTCTGTCATACTTTTTGCACACAAAATTATGGTACTAAAATGTTACATTATTACCTCTAAATTTAGGATTTTACTTAAGCAGAAGAGTTGATTAATTCATTAAACCCTCTTAGACATATCAGCTTTACAGTTCTTTGCTTAATAGTAAACTTTACAAATCAGAAATGGTTCTGCCTCCACTTATATTTTGCTCAAAACATGCAGGTAGGATTCTCTGTTAAAGTGCAAGCTTATTGAACATGCCATACAGCTAGTTTGTGTGATTATATTGCTAAGTTTTATATTTCATACCCTTCATAATTCTTTAGTTTATTCTGAACATGAAAATACCAATCTAATACTGTATGGTGATAAAATAGAGACAGGATGGTCTCCTTTCTTCAGCAAAACTTCCTCAATCTGAAAAAAAACCTACACATCCCCTCCATCACAGAAAACTTTCATCATGCAGAACTTTCATCATTTTCTTCACTGATCAGGTAAAACGTGCGAGATACATTGCAGTAATGCCATTGAGTCTGTCTGAGTGTGCCTTTGCTGGAGGCATAGTGCCCGTCTGGATATCATTGATGTGTTGGCGGTGTCGTCAGTCTGTCTCTTTATTGCTTTAATGGTGTTAGGTTTGCCAGTTGGAGTCCAGGACCCCATTGATTTATGGGTAAGAATGTCTATGGAAACACCGCATTGGTTTGGCAAGAGAAGGAGATGTCTTTGGGTTATGTGCATGGTTTAGCAAAGAGGTGCTTTAGCTTTATATGACATCAGTTATTTGAAAAATGAATGTGATGCAATTAGTTGCTCACACAGTGAGTCTTATCATTTCTTGTAAAAAAACAGAATTTTTTTTTTTTTTTGTAAGGCAGCAATAGCTGAATATAAGAAGCATTTTAAGAACCAGGCTGTGCTGTAGAGAGATTCTTGCAGTAAATACAAAAAACATCTGGTTAAAACAGATCTTTTATTTCAGATTTTTATGTTTTAAAGATAATTCTTCTTTTGCATTTTCCAAAAACAGTAATTGCTTCTTGATAATGGTATGATAATTCTGTTAGGGCCTTTGGATTATATCAAAACTGTAAGGTTTGCAGGTGTAGAGCTAGAGATAAATCTTTCTCTTGTTGCTGAGTAATTCAGCTTAATCTACAAAGTCAGTTTTGAACAAACTGCCTGGGTTTCAATATTGAAAAATCCTATCACACAGCTGATACATAGAAAATGAAAACAGCAAGAACAGAGCATTAACAATCAATAGCTAAATAGTGTCAAACTCACTAGGGGTAAATAAAGATGAGCAATAAACCTGAAGATTAGCTGGAAAAAAGTATAAATACATAATAAAGACATAGCCAAGACAAAGCATAGTGGTTTAACAGGACCTGATTAGTTTTAGGATGCTACCACCACTATCAGAAAACCAAAAATAGAAGTTTCATTTAATTTTCATATGTCAGAAATCTGGAGATGAAGACGAAAGACCATATCCAGGCAAATTACAGAAGCCGACAAGCAGCCAGGAAGAAGA